TTCTGGTGGAACCGACCTTCGAATCTCTTCACCCAACACTTCTACTCGAAATGGAAGTAATCCCAACAGGTAGAAAACTAGCTGTATATTACGTTTTTTGAAGAAAAAAATTCAAAAAAACCATTCCTATTGGGAGGCTCTCTAAAGTATCCATTTTTCTTGAGCATGAATTCGAATCCGCTCAGGTCGTTCTATGCGAATCTGCAACACACGACACTGAGCAGAAGACGTCACGATACTATTTATGCATACTTTGACTTACCTCCATAAAGACCCTCTCATTAGAACAGGACAGTAGTTTCGACTTCACCTTGGCCTCAACACTGCCTCCATAGGGATTCTAGCCGGGCCGAGTGGGGTCTTCAGGACAGATCAGTTCAAATCGACGATGGAATTGTTGTGTCTTGTACAAAGGTGTTTTTTCTGCTGCAATATACGATTTTACTGAGCATGACATGACACATATTTATTCATTTATATATATATATATATATACCAGTAAATTAGTTATATGAAATGTATCCATCCTATTTCTCTAAACCCTACGCTAAAACGAAAAATAAGTAATGTAGTCGATTGTTATAGCAATTATAATTTTTGCTTCACCATAATCCCACCAAAGCATGGTATTTAGGAACGTTCTTGCTGTATATATATATATGTGTAGGAACGTTTCAAAATTCATTTTATCATGGGAACTTCTTTTATCAAGACTTGCATCAATCTTAAATGATTTAGAGTGACTCATATTCTTATTCGAGTCCTGCTGATGGCTTCAAAACCTGCCCACGGAGTATAGAGTGCTTTGGAGTCAGTTGGCTATCCCAGCATAATAATAGGAAATCCAGCTTTCCTATAATCTCATATAGGGATCATGTCAGTTCGTTTGATAGTGCTAGAGCGAAGGACTCGTCCAGCTTGAACATTAGCCAAATGCTGATGCCCCTATATGACTAACCGTTTGTTTGTGAAGTTCGTCGTTGAGATCGCCGCAACCCTCTTTATCCTATCTACTGTGATCGTGAGATCCAAGCCCACCTTCCGTTCATCCTGTGTTGGATGTCTTCATGGCAAGTCTGCACTGTGAAAACATCTTTAGACTTAAGTCGGCTTTACAGACAGACCGGCAACCAGTATCACTTCTCTTCCAGCCATCATAAATTAAAGAGACCCTCAATTTATTTAACGACATACACACTTTTACTGTGCTAATATATGCTCATCGTGGATGTGAGATGAGTCACCTGATTAGGGACCAAATGTAAATAGATCCACTTGACGACCTGGGTTTAAATACCTTCGAGAGTATCAGTGAGATAAACTTAAGAGTTTTGGGTACTAACACACATTCAATACAACACAAATGGGTCATCTAAAGGCCATGATCTCGAATTTAGAACTTTTTGAAATTTGGCAGAGTGTATATTAGAAATTTATGTATACAACAGGATGAATTGGAGCAAGAGAAGGATGGGATATGAAAAACGGAGGGTAAATATTTCATGGGCCATGCTTTCTCTTGTGGAGGCCTTTCCTATGCAGTAATGAGTCTGTTCTTCATTCACATTGAAGACGAACACAATCTGGAACTTTCCCGAATTGTGAATTTACCCTAAGCTATTAAAGATTTCTTTCAAGATCTACTAAAGTGTCCGTGTTGCCATTTCTTTAATGCAAAGCGTACAAATTGGATGAAGAAATTAGACTCGATTCTTTACAGACACGTTTCACGATGCACCCTCAGCACTATAGCATGACCGACTGGATGGATTGTCCTTTAGCTATAGAAGCGGCATAAAAATTACCATCAGCACTGCATACGATTAACTCTTTGTCTACGCACTTTGTATGAAGGAGAGATTTGTTGTGTCTGATACTATGCAACAAATGCGAAAAGCTTTCGAACTTTAAAGAGTAGAGAATACCTAGAAAGTAGGGAATGGGAGATAGGAAATATTTGGGCTTACCTAATATATTTAAGGATAGGAAAGTTGACTCAAACAGTCAGTTTAGTTATGATTCTTATTGTATATTCATATCTTTTGACGTTGACTCATACTCAAATTTATCATCTATGTAATATGTGGGTCCGGTATTATATAATCGTTGGTCTGCTTTTGGCTGAGCTTATAAACTTGTTCTGTCACAATCGCGCACACATACAGGCATTTATATATTTATATATACATGTACATACACAAGTGCATAAAAGCGTGGATACCGGCAGATGAAGCTGAGAATATAGTGACTAAACTTAACTGCTACTTTTTTCATTCATTTTTTGCAGCCTATACAGCGTGTGGTGATGAATAGATTAATTTTATTGACCTATTTTGAGCTAACACTAATTGTAGCTCACATTATGTGGACCAAACGATGGACACGAACTCAGCACTTTTTCATCCGACCAGAAATAGGGTTACCGGAACGCTGCGACCACCTGAACGCCCATTAAAACTCGTATAGCAGCAGGTCGAGGATGAAGCACTAGCGTTTTCCAGCGAGGTCGAAACGAATCTTCAATTTGTCGAAAACTGATTCTACCCATTATTCTAGTTGGAAGCTTTCGCGCTTCATTAGTTGACGAGTGTTGGCAAAGCAAGTTGGACTAAATTTCTCATATTGTATCTGAATTACTAACGAAACCATGTAGTCGGCCTATAGGCCAACAGTGCTTTGTGTGTTGATTACAACTTGAAAAATTATAGCGATACATTGTATGGTGATCTTTTGGTATTCGCTCAGGTAAAGACTGATCGAATCTGCTCCATCAAACGACATGATAGAGAATCAGCTGAGGACAGGTGCTCCCGCCCGGTTAACAACAAAATTGCCGACTCCTGGACTGATGGAGGCGCCAAGTTGGAAGGACTGTCAAGAAGGATGGCATTCAAAGAGAAGGGGCGCTACCCAAACCTGATCCGTCTCCCTTCTGGCTGGATCGCCTTCATGGTGGTTGATCTGAATAGTCTTCGAGCCAGCGAGTGCCACAATATTGCCGAATTGGTAAGATCAATCTTAAAAACAGGTTATCCAAGCAGCAGTTTATGTTTTGCATCATAACGACGGCTTGTTATACCCCGTCAATTTTATTTGTACCTCATTATGTGGACTGGCTGCATTCACCAAGACCTTTCAAATAAAACAAATCATAATAATTTTATCATATAAACTCAATAATAAGCATTAAAAGTAAGGCTTCGAAAATCAAAAATAATATGACACATTTTTCAACTATTTGTTGTTAATTAGTTCAATTGATTAAGTAATTTGATCTTTATTTAATTTATAAATTACAAATTTCAATTTACACTTTTATAGATGTTACAATAAATATAATCAGCTTATGCCACTGACTGTGAGGCAGGGCTGCAAGGTTGAGTCGGTTGCAGTAAAATTAATATAAGGCTTCACGATGTCATTGCATTTAACTTAGCCTTATCCCCGAAAAAACGTTTTTTTTAGTCGGGACTGGATTTTCGACCTTATCGGATTCTTATCAACATCCAAAACTAGGCTTAAATTTGGGCCGTGCGCATAAATTGGTAAAGTTATCACTCTCCTACAGAGACTTATATACCAGCTTGTAACATGGCGATGAGGCTTTCATAGCAAACCAGGCCTACCTCGACTCACATATTTAGTCAAGCTGCTTTCGATAGGTCAAACTAGTTTTGGCCATTACATATATATATATATATACAAAGAGTGAGAGAGGGATGTATATGTCTATGCATTTATATTAGATATGCATGTGGTGGCAGTGGCAACATCGCCGTTAAATTCACGTGACCTGGTTTTGAATCCCGTTTTAGGCGCTGATCAGACCCAAGCGATATCGTAAACGGAACACATTTTTGAGTGAATAGGCTATTCTAAAGTAAATTAAATGGCATTAAGAGTTGTTCTACTCATTACATTGTAGAACACTCATTAGCAAGCCTTCCATCACATTAAGCGACTCGACCTGACTCAAAAAATAAACAATATTCAGTATTTCCTCACTCAGTTTTTCAATTAAACGCTCCCAATTACTCCCCTGCCTCACAAGTCATAGCAATCCGACAAATGCTTTTGAGGAACCGCTTTGATTGTCATAGGGATAACTGAGGCTGGTCTTTGAAGTTACATGCTATACTTTTAAGCTTTCTCTGAAATCGGGTCATAATTTTAGACAAGCTCCGGATGAGCAGAACTTCAACAACATGGAACCTTAACTCAAAAGTCTTTGCTAGAGGAGGAGGATATCGACACAAACATGCTAAGACTACCGGTACAATACGGCCTATATCACGGATTTTTTCTCTGCGACCAATACAATACATTTTAATATAGAAGCAGCATACGTATAGAAGGTTTGCTGACATTTTTTAACACTGCTTATTCTATCTCAAGTAGCAGTATTCAATTTAGTGGATAATATAAGTTGACTTTATCGAGGCGAGTGACTCCAATTAATGCGATTTAGGAGAAATTTAGCATACTTTTAAAGAAGTATGTTCCCTTAGCTTTACAAGAACCCTGGCTGTGTGGTCGATTGGTAACGTTTTGCCGCTTGACTCGCATAAATCGAGATAGATTAGACGTAGGTCTGTCTGAAGAGAAGCCCTTTGAAAATTGGTGTCGATTAACTTCATTGGCATGTTGAGATCTTATCATTTTATTATAAAAAGCTCAGGCCTTACATCACAAACTCTACCTTCTATGAAATTCTTCCCAATAGAATATTCACTGAAAGTTTCAATCATTTTATCCTGTTTTAACTTTATGGGAAAGTTATACGAAATAGAGACACGTTTTGGGTTGGTTCAGTTAAGAAGAAGTGATAGCGAGTTCCATACATTCCTTCATTCTTATTCGTTTTTTTGTGCACTCTAACTTATCTCCTATTGTAGGGTTATCGTAATGGCTACTTGGATTCTACCTCCGCCTTAAACTTGTATGTTTGAATGCTTGACTTTGTACTGTATACTCAAAAATATACTATTTCATATCCTTTTATCTGTATTCATATCCGAATGACCATTTTTTCTCTTCCCTTAGTGTCTATAGTAAACTCGCCATTTGGCCTGGAATTGAAGCCTAGACAGAAGAAAAACTCGTCCTGACGCCATATCCAGACGTTTAAAATGAATCCATGTAGTAGCATTTCAAGGCAAAAAGTTTCTTTGCGACATTTCAAAAAAACATTAACAGTCGTCTAAAACTCTCAAGTCCGATAAATTATAATATCTCTTGTCTGATACCAGGAACATGTGGCGAAAATAAACATTTTTCATTAAACTATAATCCAAGATACACCAAAGTATTACAGGAAACTGGTTCACACTTAAAAATTTATATTACCTTCTAGTTAGTAACTCATATAAGTGTGCTGCTGATCTGCTGATCTGTTTAATTCAAGGCAGATTACAAAATATGGTCTCTTTGAACCAGTCAAGCTCCAAAAGACGCGGTGTCGGAGCTTCAGACAAACCAATGATCCCTACGAGCTGAGCCACATGTGGTCCGTAGTATTCACCAATGTCCCTATAAAAATATCAAATAATTGCTTGAAAAATTACTGAATTTCTTCACAGCACCATATTTGAATTCCACAACAAATTAGGCGCTTGCTTTAGTGATGTCAGTTCTACTTCATATATAATAGGGGATGTATTCACCCAATTTCGTTTAAGGTGATGAAGGACTG